ACTAAGTCTATTGTGGCCAGAAGATCACTGACAAGGATATGATCGAGAAAACCCTGTCCACCTTCCACCCTGGTAACATGGTTTTGCAACAACAGTACAGAAACTCTAAGTACACCAAGTACTCTGAGCTGATAGAAGTACTGATGGTTGCAGAACAACAGAATCAAGTCCTCATGGATAATCATTCTCCTCATCCTACTGGTTCTCTAGCTGTGCCTGAAGCACACGCTAATGTTGCTGAGAGTTCTTGCAACCGCAAGAGAGGCCGTAGGAGCGGGAAATGGAAGGAGAAAGGAGGTGCCATGTTCAAAGGCAAAGGAAAGGGAAAACCCAAGGGCAAAGGAAAAGCCAATGAGGAAAAAGATGAACCAAATGGGGAAGAGCAAGGTGATTGCTTTAGATGCGGGGCAAAGGGACATTGGTCCCGCACCTGCCGCACCCCCAAGCACCTGGTTGACCTTTACCAAGCTAGCAAAAACAAAAGTAAAGGTCAACATGAGTCTCACTTCACCACTGTGCCTGAAGCCTAGCCTGAAAAGCGCGATGACGAGGTTATTGACGCAAAAGGGAAAGGCGAAGACATCGAGATGGACGACAATGACGATGACCTCCTTGATGACTATGATATTTTTGGGGACCTGCAGTAATCCCCAAAATATCATACCACCCGATGCAATGCCCACATATAGTAGGATTATCTAGTTTGACCATTCATGCTCCCGAAGAGCATTTGTAATGTCAAAAATGGTCTAAACCTTGTAATATTTCCCCAGGAATCGTGTAATGTTGCTTTTCTTATAATGAATGCTTTATGTTAAATTCATGTTTATTTTATTTAACAGACTTTGTGGGAACCCAATGACTGAAGCGGAAACCTGTCTTGTAGACAGTGGCACCACGAACACAATACTAAGGGAAACCAAGTATTGTGTTACATTGACTAAGAAAACTGGAAATATTATGACCATTGCCGGAAGCAATGCTCATATTGTGGGCACCGGAAGTGCCACGTTGGTCCTCCCTATGGGTACTCAAATCTTTGTAAAGGATGCATTGTTGTATCCTGACTCAAAGCGCACGCTCCTGAGTTTCAAAGATATCCGTGCGAATGGTTTCCATGTAGAAATTGAGATTGAGCATAGTACTAAATACCTGCTCATCACAAAATTCGACGGGTACGAAAAGCACGTGGTTGAAAAACTCCCTTCATCACCATTAGGTTTGTACTACACGTACATAAAACCCGCTGAAGGATATGTTGCGATGAAAGCCATATTCAGAAATACGGAATCATTTCGTATATGGCATGACCGTTTAGGTCACCCTGGGTTGGGTATGATGAGAAGAATTATCAATAATTCTGCTGGTCACGATATCAAAAGCTTCCCGAATCATGAAGATTTTGTTTGCACTGCATGTGCAAAGGGGAAGCTAATCACTAGACCATCCCCCCCGATGATCAGGGATGAGTCGCCTGCATTCCTCCAAAGGATACAAGGTGACATTTGTGGACCTATTCAACCCCTGTCGGGCCCGTTTAGGTACTTCATGGTATTCATTGATGCCTCCACGAGATGGAACCATGTGGACCTGTTGTCCACAAGGAACCACGGTTTCTCCAAGCTAATTGCACAAATAATCAGGCTAAGAGCAAGTTTCCCTGATAACCGCATCCAATCCATTAGGATGGATAATGCTGGTGAGTTCAGGTCGAAAGCTTTCGATGATTATTGCTTAGCTATGGGTATTAGCGTGGAGCATTCAGTACCACATGTTCACACACAAAATGGTCTAGCTGAATCCTTGATCAAGAGGATCAAGTGGATTGCAAGACCGTTGTTGCAGAATTGTAAGCTACCAACCAGTTGTTGGGGCCATGCAGTGTTGCATGCTGCAGCACTGATCCAACTCAGGCCAACTGCATATCACGACACATCCCCCTCACAATTGGTGCGTGGGAAAGAACCAAGTATTTCCCATCTGCGTATATTTGGCTGTGCGGTATACGTGCCAATACCACCACCTCAGCGTACATCGATGGGCCACCACCGGAAGATGGGGGTGTATGTTGGTTATGAAACTCCGTCCATAATCAAATATCTAGAGCCTATGACTGGGGATCTTCATACGGCTCGGTACGCTGATTGTATCTTCGATGAAGAACATTTCCTAGCATTAGGGGGAGATAGGCATCTAGAAGAATGCCAGGAAATTGAATGGAATGCATCTACAATGCAATCCATAGACCCACGCACCAGTGAATCCGAACTGGAAGTTCGGAGAATCATACATTTTCAAAATCTTGCAAATGAGCTACCAGATGCCTTCACTGATCATAAAAGAGTGACAAGGTCACATATACCTGCAATAAATGCGCCGGAGAGAGTTCAGGTACCACCGAAGGTTACCAACTCTACTGTCTCCTCCAATCTTAGGAAGAGGGGGAGACCTCCGGGAGCTCGGGACAAGGTTCCGCCAAGACGTCCGCGTAGACAAGGACATGAACCACTTGCATCACTCAAGGAATCAGTCAAAGAAGATCAACCTGAAGTTGATAATGCCCCTGAAGAGGCAGCT